CTCTGGTCTGCATTGAACCAAACTCACGCTCCCGCTTGACGGCTTTGCCATCTTGGGCAGGTTCATGAACCCCTGAGCTGCAGCTTTCTCTTCTGGAAGTGGAGACAATACTTACCTTCACTGGTGGTTGGAGGATTAAGCAAAGGGGTGAATCTCAAGCACTTCTCATAGGCTGTGGTTGAACTCAGTAAGTGGGAGTGCCTGTCTTTCTGGGAAAGGGTGATTCTCTGAGGGTGGGATTTTGGGTATCAGCAAGCCAGTGGGAAGGAATTGTGGTTTAAAACAGACACAGGATGAGGAGGCCCGTTTGCTCTGAAATCTCCCCTTCTTGTGGGCCCCACCTCTGCACCAGGCAGGCCCAGTCCTCTGTGCCTGGTCAGCACCACGGACAGTTCCCGCGGCCTCCAGCTCTTCAGCTACTAGACTCGATGGCATCTAAGAGGCCTTCATTTGCAAGTCATACCTTTATGTTATGTACCACCAAGGGAACTAAAACGTTAGAATTTAACTCTGACATGCCATGGGTTGTCATTCACATCTCAATTTCGGAGATGTTGAAAAATGCTTGTCTTAGAACCTATGAAATAATGACAGTTTATTAGAGGTGATATCAGTGAGCAGTGGACCTTGGCCCTTAGAAGACTTAATAGTAATAGCCAGCATTTATTGAATACCAACCATGTTCCAGGCCTTTTTCACTCCTTCCTTCCCTATCCTAGGGGCTGTGTGCTCTCTATAATTCTCTTAACAAAGATTACATTTGGGGAATATAAATGCGAGACATATACAGTGAACCAACAGTCTTTCCACCATTCTTCTTCCCAAAATATTCCAGTCCTGAGCTGCACTTCTTCAGAGCATTGCTTCCTGCTGGTTGATAATTGAAGGCATTAACCTTACAGTCCACATCATGGTTAACCCATTTAAAAAGCATTTCAAATACATATCCTATGACCCAACCGTTGTACTCGTAGGTATGTACCCAGAACTGTGAACAAATGGTCACCAAAAGACATAAAATATGTTTTTGGCAGAGCTATTTGTAACATCCCCATAAAGGAGACTACCCAGATGCTCATCAACTATAGAATGGATGGAAATTATTTTGATATATTTGCACAGTGTACTACAATAAAGCCATGAGAATGAATGAACTGCAATGGAACAATCAACATGGATGAACCTCACAAACATAATGTTGGATAAAAGAAGCCAGACACTAAGGAATATACACTAGATGATTTTATGCATACAAAAGTACAAAATAGGCAAAATCAGTCTGTGCTGTTAGGAGTTAGGGTGCTGCTACTTTTGGAGGAGAAGTAACTGGAAGTGTGCAGAGGGCTTCTGGGGCATTGGTAATGTTCTGTTTCTTGATCTGGGTGTTGGTTCCAAAGATGAGTTCACTTTGTAGTATTCATCAAGGTATACACACTTACAACGTGCACTGTATAACTGTAGAGTTTTCTGTGTGTATATTATACTGCAACAAATCGTTGTTTTAAAGGCACCTTTTTCCAGAAGAGAATGCTGAGATGTGTGTATGCAGAATGATGAGTAAGAAATTTGGGGGGTAGCTTGTCAAATGGGATATTTAGAACAACTCAGTGTGAGTAGAATGCAGAGCATACTGGGGAAAAGTAAAAAGAAAACAAGGCTGGAAACGTAAGTTGGGACCAGGTCAGAAAGACAGTGTGTGTTAAGCCTTTGGAGTTTATTCTGCAAGCAGTGAGGTGCCATTGAGGGTTTTTGATCAAAGAGGTGATGTGTGCAGGATTGAGGTTTGGAAAGCTCATGCAGGCCACGGGGTGGAGAGGAAACTGGTAGAAGATGACGCTTGGGTAGTGGGGACACCAGTTAGCACAGAAGAAGAAACTGAGTCACAGAGGTTAAGTGACTTGCTCAAGATCACTCAATTAAATACAGTAACTCAGACAATCAGCCTCTATCATCCATACTTTTAACCATTAGGCTATGCTGCCTCCTGAAGACGCTCCGGAAGTATTAGTGAATGGCTGTGGACTGTGAAAGAGCGAGCCATTGGCAGTTGGGAGACCTGAATTCTAACACCAACACGGCCATTGACTCGTGCCCCTCTTTGGGCTTCCATTGCTCTCTATACAGTGAAGGTCTTGGTCTGGGTGATCCCTAAGTTCCCTCCAAGTGGAATCCTTGATTTTGAGGGAAGGCAAATCCGACAGCTCTAGGGAGAAGATGGGGAAGGTAGGGACCCCCACAGAAGCAGTCAGGGTTTGTGCCTCCGCAGCCTGTCCTTGGAGACACGGCCTGTCCAGCACTAGCACTCTGGAGGCCTGAGTGCCTGCAGGTGTCTCAGCCCTCGATTTTCAGATGGATTTCAAGACCCGGGCAAGGGAGGCCTGTGAGGCTGAAGTCACTGGGAATAACGAGGCCAGGGAGAGGCTGACAGTGGAGGGAGAAGAGGCAGCAGTCTCCAGGGTATTTATCTCAGAGGGACAAGAATGGCAGCCGCTGTGGCAAGGGGACGCAGTGAGCCGCAGGCCTTGGTGCTTCTCATCCTGGTATAACTCAGAGCTCTTGTGTCTGGGGGAACTTCACAGGCTGCGGTGTGGACTTGGAGTGGGCACTCACAGTGACGGGATTAGATGCTGGTCAGTGACATGATCAGGCAGCTTGGGGACCTGGAGCAAGTCCTGGACCCTCACTCCGCTTTGGGTGACTCATCTGGAAGACAAAGTGGATAACGCCCGTCTTCAGTGAAACGTCGAAGAGGGGAATGGCTGTGTTTTCTCCCCCCACATTCCTAGGACCTCTGGTGGTTACGAGTGCAGGATCCGTTTCCGCACAGACCTCGGTCTCAAACCTATCTCTGCCTTGCCTGGTGTAACCTTGCACAGGTTACTGAACTGCTCTGAGCCTGTTTCCTTGTTGTAAAATTAGGATAATAATACTTTTGGAGCCGTGGTGGGTTAAATTATACTACTATTATAAATTATACTACTATAAATTTATAGTACTATAAATTATACTACTAAATTATACTACTATTATATATATATAATAGTAGTTGGTACAGGGTAAATACTAAAAATAATGGTATCTGCTCTTATAATTTATCATCATCAGTTTATTATCCTGTTCCTTAGGAACACTTGCTTTTGGGAGAAAGCACATCAAACACATTCATATGCAGGTATAAACTATGGGGTAAGATTTACTTGTTTTCTTTATTGGAGAATTTGCATTTTTCTTGGCGATATGTCCTAAAGCCAGTTAGATTAATCACACGTCAGTGGGGCTGGGCAGCGTGGGCGCTGTCCTTGGTGCTGGATGGCAGTGAGGGAGGGACGTGCTTGCTCTGTAAACACAGGCATCCACTGGGTCAGCCGGCCTGTCCCAGGGCAGGTTTCCCCAAGGCAGACCCTGCGGTGAGATCCGCGTGCAGGCAGTGTATGAGGAAAGCGCCCCCAGAGGAGACTGGGGGGGCACTGGACGAGGAAGGAGAGAGGCAAGCGAGGGTGTGCTCTCAGGCAGATCCCACAGATCCCACAGAGGTGGCCCTGCCTGTGTGTAGGTGGCCCCGAGCCCGTGTTAAGCCTCAGAGTTGTTCTGACCTGAGGCAAAGGAGATGAGGGTCCAGTTAGTCTCTGACGAAGGGGCAGGGGATAGGTAGGGGTCATACATTTCCGGACACTTCTAGCTCTGGGTGGGAGTGGGCTCAGTAGCCCAAGGGAAGACCCCCTCCTCCGAAAACAACTGTGATACTGACTGTCGGAAGCTACCACACACTAAAGCGGGAAGGGAGCTCACAAAAGTGGTGGCAAGGGGACTTGAGTGGGGCATCTCATTGTTTACTACGGCGGGCTGAGCGAGGGTCTGTTTCTGGGCCTAGTGGAAAATGCATCTATGAGGGTACCAGCGAGACCGTTGGCGAGGGCACATCTGGGGAGCCCTCTCTCTGCAGTGGCATGGCTCCTTTTGCTTAGCACCTACTACGTGCCTGGCACTGCAGTGAACGTTTTGGCATTTAACCCTGTCGACACCTCCACAGGGCAGGTGCCATCCACTTGCCTGAGGTCTCTGTACCTGGGCCATCTGGTTGCAAAGCCAGGCTCACCTGTGTGGGGGGCCAGGGATGTTATGAGGCTCAAACAGGGGACTCGATGGGAAGTGCTTTGAGGGCCGCGCAGTGCCACGCAGCTGTGAAGCACACCTCTGGGGGATCGAGTCGTTTGTCATGCTTTGCTCCTCCCTCTTCCGGGAGAAACATATCAGACCCAGGTGGGTGGAGATGGAGCAGTATTGGGGCCCCAGAGAGCGGGGCCTAGTGCGGAGGTGAGAAGCCCAGCAGGTGTCCACCGCCTGCCTGCAGGTGCTCTGTCACGGTCTGTATCCCAGCAGGGAGGGGTGTTTGTCCCCGTACACATGACCGCGCTTGTGTGTGTGTGTGTGTGTGTGTGTGTGTGTGTGTGTGTGTAGGGACATCTCTATGTCTGGGAGTCTGTGTTTCTGAATGTGCGTGTGCCTGTTTCTGTGTCACTCCGTGTCAACTCTGAGGCTTCTCTGCTCTGCACAGAGAAACACAGAAGCAGTGGGGGCAGGGAGGCTGCAGGTGCAGGTTAGGGAAAGAACAAATGGTGGAACGGAGAGGGGGGTCAGAGACCCTGGTTAAATCCATGCAAAGCGCTCGACAGAGAGTGTGACACGTAGTAGGTAGTCAACAAATGGTAGCTGAAGAGGAGGAGGAGAAGTGATTTGGAGTAGGCTGCAGGGGAGAAATGGACTCAAGGGGGAGAAAAAGTACACGTAACTGAGTCCACCAGTAATCAGAACTCACGCGATACTGTTGCTGGGGGTGGGAGTGGCAGGCGAGGTCAGGGGCCTCAGGAGGTTGGGGGCCGGGGTGGAGGCTGAAGCTGGGCAGCCACCAGCCGCTCAAGCACTAACCAGATGGCTCGTCTCTCTGTCCCCCTCCCACCTGTATCTCTCTCCCCATGTCTCTTGGCCCCTTTGCCCAGAAGGGGACAGCCGGAGGCTGAAGGGGGCCATCCAGAGGAGCACGGAGACAGGCCTGGCCGTGGAGATGCCCAGCCGGACGCTGCGCCAGGCCAGCCACGAGTCCATCGAGGACAGCATGAACAGCTACGGCTCAGAGGGCAAGTGAGTGTGGGGCCTGCCAGCCCTCCTGGCTCTTGCAGCCCCCTGTGGTGGGTGGGGGGTGGGCGTGCCTGGGCAATACCTCTCAGAGCCCTGGGTCAGCCGCAGGCTGGGGGGCCCTTGGCTCAGGGCTCCCGGGCCGTGCCCATCTTCAGAAAGGAGGGAGAGTGAGCAGAGCACGGGCTCCGGTACGTGACCGCCTGGATTCGAATCCTGCCCCACCCCTTTCCTGCTGTGTGACCCTGGGCAGGTCACATCTCTGTGCCGCAGTTTCCTCACCTGTAAAATGGGGATAATAGTGCCAATCTCATAGGGGTGCTATGAGGATTAAATATTTATAACCATTTAATCCTGGGCTAGTACTTACAGAGCATGGGACAGTGTTTGCAGAGACGTGCCGCGCGTTGGTGTCGGTAAGGCAGTACAGAAGGGGCTCGAGAGGGGTTTTATTGTCGTGACCCCGCTTTAGGTTCTTAAGTCCCAGTTGGTTTTTAAACATAGATGTTACTGCTCGATAAAGGCATCTCCAGTGCACCGAATCATTAAACAAGGGTGCTGCCTGGCTCCCCGTGTTTCCCTCCCCTGGCTGCATGTCAGAATCCCCGGGGAACGTGTTCAAATGCAGATTGCAGGGCCCTGCTGCACCCGAGCTGCTGAATTAGAGTCTCTGAGAGTGGAGCCTAAGAACCCCGTTGCTGAAAAGCTCTCTGAAAGAAGGATTAATCTAGACTAGGGGTTTCTTATCTTTATGGACTCCTTTGAGAATTTTGGGAAAGCTTTGGGCCTGCTTTCCCCCAACACACACACACACACACACACACACACACTCTAATACATACACACTCGTTCTCACACACACGGTCATACAAACACACTCTTCTCCTAACTGTAGAAGGTTCCCACATTCCCCTAAAACCATCCGTGGATCCCTGGCAAAGAAACTTTCATCCAAAGCAACTTCCTTATTGTAGAGATGACTGGGGCACTCAGAGAGGTTAAGGGGCTTGCCCTGGATCACACAGCATGCTAATAGGTCTGGAATCTGGGAGTCCTGACTCCCAACTGGGGGTTATTCCACGATATCACGTTGCTTCATGGCCCCAGCCATCCTCTGAGGTGGGGTGGGGGCCAGGGGTCAGTGTCACGATCCTTGTGCACATGAGGAGACTGAGGCTTGGAAAAGTTAGGTGCCACACAGTCCGGTCCAGCAGCCACTAGACATACGAGGCTACTTAAATGTCAATTACTTTAAATAAGATGAAATATTCTGTTCCTCCGTTGCTTTAGCCGTATTTCAAGGGCTTGATTGCAGCACGTGGCTAGTGGCAGCCCTATTTGATGGCAGGAACATTTTTGTCATTGCAGACAGTGCTGGCTGAGTGGCTCGTGCAAGGGCAGACGCCCAGCCGGGGAGGGGTAGGGCTGGGCTCAGCCTCCACCCTTTGCTGCCCTGCCTCTCAGCAGGGGGCTCCTCCTGGTCAAAAGCCTTCCCCACCCCCACCCCCTCCTACACCAGGCATTCGCAGGAATGGCCTCACCTCGGCAGATGCTACTGTTCCACCCACCTCCTAGCGAGACTTTCGGGTGGGCGAAAAGAGGAGGACAGCGGAAGGGAGAGGAGCAGGAGGAAGGGAGCCAGTGTTTTCTTGAACTTGAGAAATATGGCAAGGCAGCAAAACCTGGAGGAAGATATCCTCAGTGTTTGGGAAGCAGTGGGTCCCTGCTGACAGACACGAGTCTCGGGGGATCAGGAGGCTCGGGTCCTAGTCCTGGCTCTGCTGCTGACCCCCTGGGTGGCCTTGGGCACATCTGTGGGCCTCTCTGAGCTTTGGGGAGGCCAGTAAACATCTTGTTGGCCTCATGGGCAGATCTGGAGGACCAGATTATGGGAGGGCAACCAATGTGGTTCAGTGAGCAGCAGCAGGGAAGTCACACCTGTGTTCCTGTTTTACAGAAGTGGAGGCAAAGGCTCAGAGAGGTCACATGACTTGCCCAAGGGGCACATCCGGGGAGAGTGTCAGGAGGAAGAAACAAGGCGCGCGCACTTGTTACCATTTGCTGTAATGTGCTGTAAGGGACCAGACAGTCCAATTACATTACAGGCAGGTTCAAAGCCAGGACTCAAGAGTCAGATAACCCTGGTTTGTGTCTCATTTCTGCTGCTTAGCAGCTGTGTGGCTTCACCTCTCTGAGCCCAATTCTTCTATAGAAAGGGGATGGTGATAGTACAGACACTCATAGAGTACTGTAGGATTAAATGCGGTAATATACGTAAAAGCACTTTGAACAGTGACTGGCACCTAGCAGGCACTATAATTATTAGCTGTAATTATTGTTTGTTAATTAAGTGACTATTAGTTAGCTGCTTGCAGTCAGTTGTGTTTTAACGGATATAGTGAGCCACTCCAAATACAATTGTATCTATAAAATGCCAAGCACAGAGCAAACCCTGAATAAATGTTAGCTATGTTGATTATGATTATTAAAAGGTTTGGGGTGGGTGTTTTGAGCCTAACTGAGGAAGAATTAGGTGGGTTGGAATCAGGTGTCCTCCCTGCCAGGTCCAGCAGGGAGGACAGTCTTGGCTTCCTGAGAGGGGCTGAATCTTGGTGGATTCCAGCCAAGTGCTGCCACATGCCCAACACCTAGGCAAGGAAGGGACATAGAAGGGACAGGTAGGGACATTGAGAAAGGACAGCCTCTTCCTTGTTCTGCAGGTATTTTGGGCACTGGTTGGACCCAGGTGCCAAGCTCTGATATAGGAAGGGATGTGACTGTCCTCCCCTCTCCCCACCCCCTGGGCGTCTGCCAGCCCAGCCGGGGCTTAGAGGGAGCCGGCCTGCCTGAGCAGCCCTGGCACTGCCGGGCACATGCATTCCTGCAAGCGGGCACAGGAATGCTCCCATGTGGATGCTCATTTCAGCAGATGTGATTGAGCATCTACAGTGTGCCAGGCAGTTGAGCTGGGCTCCTCAGAGACCCTGCCCTGACCTTCGTGAGCTTTCAGTCTAGGGCACGGACTGACCAACCAGCAGTGTGGGGAGACCTGCAAGGGACAGGTATGGAAAACTTGGGAAATGCTGTGTCACCAGCCAGGTCTGAGGGGTGGAGAAGGAGTGCATGTGGGTTGGGCCACTCTGTCAGTGAGGATGTCCTGGGATCCAGGTTGCTGAGACCAATAGCCCTTGGCTTCCGCCTTTGCTATTCAAAGTGTGGGCCACGGCTGGGCAACACTAGCGTCCCCTGGGAGCTGGTTAGAAATGTAGAACCTCAGGCTCCACCCTAGACCTGCTGAATCAGAATCTGTATTTGAACAAGATCCCCAGGTGGTTTGTGTGCATGTTGAGGTAGAGAAGCCTAGAGGACACCGACTATGTGCAGGCAGTGTGCGAAATGCCTTCATTGACTCATTCCATTCTCACGACAACCTGATGTTAATATCCCCATTTTACAGATGAGGACATGTGAGCTCAGAGAGGGTAAGTAACTCACCCAAGGTCACATGGCCAGTAAATGGCAGAGCCAGGATTCCAATCCAGGTATTTGGAGCCTGCCCTCAGTGATCACACTCAGTTCTTTCCCTGATTTAGTGTCACATCTATCAAGGTTTCTGGAGGTGGAAGCTTCGAGGATGGTTTGATGGATCAAGGATGTTGTCAAGGACCCAGAGTCCTCCCATCCCTCCCCTCCATGGGGCTCAGCATGTCGGACCAGTCATGTTTATCCCCTGAGGCTGGGGAAAGGCTTCCTTTCCCTGATCCCTTTTCTGCCTGATCAAAAATTGGGGTTCTATGTCTTAAGGATGGAGAGTCAACCAGCCAAGCCACCAGAGCAGGCCTGTCTCACTCAGACAAGGGGCAGGGAATTGAGTTCAAGACCCCTGAGAAAGGGCCACGAGAACAGGGCCTCCCTAGACATACGCCCTACCCCATCCTGAGACACTCCCTGTTGACTGTCTGCTTTAGTTTGGGTTTTCCCAGAACCAGAGCTGAGACATGGGTTCCAGTGCAAGTGATTCGCTTGGGAGGTGATTCTAGAAAATAATGGCAGAGCAGCATGTAAGAGAGAGAGGTGGCAATGAATCCAGTAAGGCAGGCTGTAAGGAGCCAGCTACCCCAGGGGGCAAGCAGAACTCAATCCTGATGGGGAACTCTGAGAGCCAGCCTAGAACACGCGCTGAGAGTTACCCCTCGGGGGGTGAGGGAGCTGGAGTATTTACACTCCGGCTCTCACCAGTTACTGATTCATGGCCGCTCCCCGTTGGCTCTCACCAGTTACTGATTCATGGCTGCTCCCCGTTAACTCTCTGGCTCTTCCTGTGGCTAAATGGCCTCTGGAGGTTCGAGTTCTTCAGGGGCCGGAGAAACGTAGGCATATGAATGCAGATGCTGGCAGTTAGAAGTCAGCAAGCACTGATGTGGTAAGGGGATAGGGAGTAGACTGGCAGCGCCTACTGCATTTCCAGAGTGTATGAACCACCATCTCCCAGCTGCCCAAGCCAGAAACCCGGGGTACTCCTAGGCAGCTCCCCTCAATGCATAATCCATATCCAATCCGTATTGGGCTCCACCATTTTACTCTTAATTATCTCTTGAATCCATCCATTTCTCCCCATCTCCATCCCTCTGGTCAAGGCCACCCATCACTCTTGCCTGGACACCTACAAGTCTCCTTTTTGATCTGAAATCTGCAGTCTCACCCAGCACCTATTTGCTCTGACCTCGTCCAGCCTCTCCTAGTCCCCCGCCATGTGTCCCGTGTTCCACCACCCTGAATCTTTCATGCTGCCCTCTCTCTCACCTCTGGGGCTTTGCATCTATTGCTCCCTCTACCTGGCTCTCTCTTTTCTACCCCTGCTCCCTCTTCACCCTCTGACTCATTCCTTCTCCAGATCTCAGCTGAGAACTGGCACATAAGCTGTATCTCATGTGCCAGCTCCACTTAATTGATAGTGGCTCCCTGGAGTGCTGTGTTGAGGATGCTGGAGCCCCTCCAGGCTCAGC